GCGCCTCGTCTCCCGCCCTCCGTCCGTTGCTGTCCCTGTCCCCCCTGAGGCTTTGGGACGACGCCGGGGGTCCCGACTGCTGGGTGAGGTGGGCGGTCTGATCGCCTTTACCGACTTGAGGCTGGGTGAGGTTTGGCGGTCTCCCCATCGTTTTCGTTTTCTGCCCGGGGGTGAGCCTCGAACTTTCCTCTGCCTTTGACTTTCTTCGGTTCCTCCTCCTTTCGTGTGTCGGCTTTGAACCGTGGGAGGCTGCGGGGTGCGGGAAAGACGACCGCACGCCACCCGTGGCGGCACCCACGGTCGGTGATCCACGCGGTAGTGCCAGCTTTGTTTCCTGGCATCAGAGAGCCTTAATGGCTAATTTTTAAATGTTTCTTTGGGGTACTGGAAAGACCACAGACCCGGGATTGAATCCTGGCGCTGATATTAAGGCCGGTGAAGCCCTCATTGCATTTGGTGACCGATTTCTTCCTCTGTACATTTGGTTTAGCTGATATTGAAGTTCCTTCAAGCTTTAATGCGCCTCGCGACCGTGATAAATTCTCTGTGATCTCTGTATTAAATGGTCATCCTGATATAGGTCAGTGACAAAGAGGGAGTATCCATAGGAGCTTTTAAATTCTTGACTTCTCTTAAGAGTCTGTCCTACTTTGTGCTTGACAGAGGCCTTGTAACCAGGAGGCGGGGTAAGTTGCGGGTATACATAGGCTAGCAGGTGTGGAACGTATTTATGTGTCGGTAGAAATTTGCTTATTTAAATAATGGGAAGATAATTTCCTTTTAAGAATCACCACACTGTACAGTTGAGGAGTTGGACAGACTTCCATTTAGAGCCTTTCAGAATTAATTGTCTTATGGGCTCTAATGATGATAGACCCATTTCAGGATACACACTTAAAACATTCTGTTTTAAAATTACTTTGTTTGCAGCTATGTGCCATGATAGGCGTAGCGATGATTATTAGTGCTGCAATTGCTAAATATTAGCAATACCTTATTTTCTGCTTAAGGAATTGCTTTAATTGCCAGTTTTCACTTAAGATGTGACTTGAATATTAAGATTGGACTTGAATATTATTGCCAAAGAGTATAGTACATATCAGTACCTAAAATATGACCATGTGTATCACTAGATATATCATGAGGTAAGAATTATTAATAAGAAGAACTTATCCAATTTATGGAATGAAATTAAGCCTCACATATTTAATGGTGTTATTTTTGTTGTTAGGCAGTGTAGACGTGTCGGTTTCAGGAGGGTTTGTGAATACAAATCAAATTGGTGTAGAAATTACCCAGGTTGGCATATTAATGTTGGGTATTGTTTGCCATTTTATTTCACTACCTGATAGTTGATGAGGCAAGAAAATGAAGGAATAAAATATGATCTGTGTTCAAATTGATAAGGTATTTTAAATAACAGATTATGGAAGACACTTTTGTGTCCAAAACAATATTTAAAAAATTTATTACTAATTATAATTTTTAAAAAGTTCAATTTTAAGTCATTCTAAATTTAAACCTACCCTTTGTAATAATGCTAGGCATGTGAAACATATAGTACTACAACTTTTTATACATTATATATTTAACTTTAGCAATAAAATGTGCTTTCATTTTTTTAATAAAAAATGGAATAGAACTGATCCATCTATATACTTTTATTTAAACTTACATATCCTCACATTTTACATTTTTCTCATTTTCTAACCATGTTGCTATAGTGCAGTCTGTCACCGAAAAGAATTGCTAGCCGGACTCGGTGGCTCAGCCTGTAATCCCGCGCCTTTGGGAGGCTGAGGTGAGTGGATTGCCTGAGCCCGCGGGTTCGAGACCCGCCTGGGCAGGCGAGACCTCATCTCTACAATAAATAATAATAAAAAAAAAATCAGCCGGGCGTGGTAGCGCGCGCCTGTAATTACGGCTACTTGGAAGGCTGAGGCGGAAGGATCGCCAGAGCCCAGCAGGTCGAGGCTGCGGTGGCCGGGAGCGGCCACTGCACTCCAGTCTGGGCAACGGAGTGAGACTCCAACTCAAAAAAAAGAATTGCTGCTAAAAATAATCCTCCATTGACCTAGCAACCAATGGAGTATGATACCGTTTCAGTGTATCATACTCAATAACAACTGAGCTAACAAGTGAGGAGTTTAATATTATGTAATTTAAGGAATGCCATAAAGATCCAACATGTCTCTGTAAAGATATTTTGATATCTTAAAAAATGTTTAATTATTAAATTTAGTTTTTAAAACCCATTGTAAAATTATATAATGTTCACTTTCACAACTTTGTAGATTTTTACAGTAACCTGGAAGATGAAGTTTCCATTTAAGTAGTTTGAAACAACTGAAACAAGTTCCTTCAGATACATGATTTTCAATAATATTTAGATAAAATATCCTTAAAATTGAAGAAGTTGTCATTAGCACTTAAAGACTTGGTTCAGATTGTTGTTTGAATATCCTATGATGGGCTTTGCTGTCTTGGCCTTTAATGACTTTATGAAGTATTTTTAATTTTTATTTTTTATTTTGAAACTGAGCTAAAGAGGAATCTTTGAAAGTCCAAATTTCAGGAAAAAAGAGACATCTGTGAAAGCTTGAGTTAAGTATGGCATAACAACTTTTAATCTGCCATTTCCACTTTTTTTTGGCATAAGTCATTTATGTCATTCTCTTGCTCAGAACCCCGTCTCTTACTTGGATTTCTTGGATCAGCAGGGTAAGGAAAAAAGTTTATAGAACACATTGGAATGTGAATTCATATCTGAAAGTGGCAGAGGACAATTGAACCTGGAAGTCTCATTGATATGTCAGCTTTATCATAGTGTGTAGGATTGCTATGCTTCCTTGGACATTTAGGTAACATTAATTCTGGAATATTTTAGAATGAATATGTCCTATGCCTATCGTAGATTTGATTATAATTTTCTAGCTAATCTTGAATTCTGGCTTTTTTAGAAATTTAATTTGGTTAAATATTATGCTCAAGTTAAGCATGTTTAAACTTTCTTATTTGTGAATTATACTTATGTATACTTTTGTTTTGGAGGCTTTAAGATAACACATTCCTTTCTAAAGAGAGTGTGGGACTGGTGACTCTCCAGTGTGTTTTATACTTCTGTAATGTCAAGTTTTTATAATATTTTGATTGATATTTCTTGAGATGTACAAAGTCTAACATTCTCTAGTAAAAGGTGTCTTTAATGTGTGTGTACTGGCCTGTTATTTCAACATAAAACTTTAGAGAAATGAATTAACCCCCAAAATATGTCTGAAGGTAATTGTGGGGGTGAGTTGGGTTGCAGTAATCATCAATTTAGAGCTAGCTATGAATTTTAGTAAAAAATAAAGTCCTGTTTATTAAATTAAATTCTACATTTTGGATAAAATGAGAGCATATTTATTGCTTGCTTTCTTTTTTTTTTTTGAGTCAGTGTCTCATTCTGTTGCCCAGGCTGGAGTGCAGTGGCACACTCACAACAACTGCAGCCACAGTGGCTCAGGTGATCCTTCTACCTCAACCTTCCAAGTGACTAGAACCACAGGCACATGCTACCATGTCCGGCTAATTTTTCTTGATTTATGGTAGAGATAGGGTCTTGTCGTGTTGCTCAGGCTGGTCTCGAACCTTTGGGTTCAGGCAGTTCTCTCACCTCGGCCTCCCAAATTGCTGGGATTATAGACGTGAACTACCGCCACCACGCCCAGCCTTATTTATTGCTTTTATAAGTAGTAGGTAGTATATGTAAAGCACCATATGTAACTAGAGTTTTATTTTTTATCTCACCCTTTTTCTTGGAGCATATTTAAAAAATACAAACCTCATACTTTCCTGTTCTCTGTTTTGTATCAACATGGTTTTTAGTGGAGTGTTCCAGTCCTCTACGATGTATGAACATGATTTTTAGTGTAGTGGGTCAGTATGATGTCCAGTGGGATTGTTGAAGTCATCAAAGTTCTTTTAAAGTTAAATTGTGGAAGAGAGCCAGAGTGTATGCATTTCTGAGGCAGCTCCAGGGTTTGAGCCCCAGGTCTTTTCAGTGACTACTTTTGTGACCTTAAGCAGGTCTCTTTATCTTATTTGCTCTTGGTTTTCTCATTATAATATTGGAGGTGGTCTAAGGTCCACTTGCAGTTCTAATATTTTCTTATTAAAAACTCTTCAATGATGGTATAATGGCAAACCTGGAATAAAAATGATCTTAAATGGAGAAAGGTAGTTACGTCATTTAACATGTCTTTAATTTTAAAGGAATGACAGTAGAATAACATTGCATTTTTTAGAGACAAAAGACCAAAAGTTGGTTGGTCATTTAATCTTATTAATAGTTTTGATTATAAAAAGTAATATTTTAAAATCAGAATCTGTTAATAATACATTACTTCATTTATTGGATTTGATGTTGTATAAATAAAATCTTTTCCTCAAGTGTAATGCCAGGTGCACAGTTAGCTGATAATACTGACTTAAGACTTTTCCCTTGATAAGAATTCTTTCTTTCTAATTCTGCCATTTAAGAAAAGTGTGAGGCAAGTAAATCAGAAGAATCTAAAAACAATATATATAAAGAAAATTGAGATAGTACCTGTCATGCTGAAATGAACAAGAAAAGAGGAATTGAGGGAAAGCTGAACAGCTTTTTACCATCTCTGGAGATTGGTATTTAT